TGCTTGGCATAATGCGAATTAGTGCACGATTCCGCGCGCGGCTATTCCGACTATTTTCGTCCGCGATCTCCTACAGTCCCGAATAGCTGAGAATTGTTTTTTGCCAGGCACGACGGTGTCATAGGAAAGTAACGATAATTACACAACAACGAATCGTCGCATTTCAGTTCCGCTAGTGCGAAACGCTCCCTCGGAACTAATTATGAAGTAATTATAATTCCGGACTCGCGTTATATCGCTTGTATGTCCACGCAGATTCTCTCTCTCTCTCTCTCTCTTTCTTTCTCTGTTAATGGCAACACTGAATATTTTATAAGCAAAACCGCGCTCGATTTACCTGCAAATAAACGCAGTTACGAAAATACGATAATATTACAGATATAAATTATTCTTGACTTTTTGAAGAATGTATATTTCAATTTAAAAAACAATTACGATTTATTTTACAAAATTTAACGACGTAATGATAAATTTATTAATGACTGACAATGAGTGATACTTAACAAAGTTGCCTCATAATTATTGCATTTTTGTTTAGAGATTCTTTGGTCAATTTAGAAAGTCAATTTCTTTTCTACAATATAAAAATTCGATAAAAAGTCATTTGTAACAACTTGCCAACTTTTAGCATAAATATTCCGGTAATTAAGTCTCAAATTAAATTTTGTTTTAAGCAGCAAAGTAACAAATAAACTTTATTAAAGTTCATTTAAAATTTACTTAAAAAATAAAATCTCGTTAAAAATTGTACTATATCTACTTTTATTCTTGCAGTTTAATTTATCGAAGAAATTTATTTAGCAATTTTCAAAAGCGAACGATTTACTTGTTTAAAAATATTAAAACTAATGTAAATATAATATAAGTTACAACAGTCTTAATAACTTTAATATTCTTGCCAATAATGGATATTAAACTGTGCCAATTTTTTATTTTACTATACTCATGAAGTTCGTGCAAATTTAAGTACATGAAAGGGCATATCAATACATTTTGACGACAAAAAGATCTCGACGTAATAAATTTGGGATCCGCGATCAGCTCCTTTAAGCACCAATAATCGTCTCGAGGTCGACTTGTACGATTCCTATCAATTTCCCACATTTCCTCACTTTTGGATTTATTCGAAACCGGAAGCCACATAAATGGAAGAGTTCGGAATAATTGCCAACGTCGACTACACGACTTCTAGTAAAGTCGATCAAATAGCACGACGTACTGATTTTAAAACCAATTTATCGATTAAATACCGTTGTCGTAGCTAGTTAATTGTGAATTAACGGTGCCTGTTGAACTTCGATTAGATGTAGAATGAAATAAAATATAGATACTTATTGTAATAAAATATATCTATCTTTCGTGTATGTGCTTTATTGCATATTTAGAAATCGTCAGACCAAATTCCGTATTTCTTAATAAAGATCTTTTCTAATATCAACAGAGCTTTATGATTATTACATATGCATATGTAAATTTTGTAAAAATAAAGAGAAGTTGAGTTTTTTATAAAATCTTCAAATTTAAAATAGATTGTAATTTTTTTTTTTTTTTTTACCAAACCCAAGATAGTCTATACAAATATTTAACATCGTATCTATTTTACATTAAGGCAAATGATAGTCAGCAATAGTAACGTTTTCTAGCTAATGCACGATGGTTCGATAAGTCGAAATGGCATTTGGCATTATCCTACAAAGAACGCCGAGTTAACGCAATCGTTTTCGTAAAAATGTCTCTCTTTATCGAAACTTGTTCCAAAGAAAGTAACAAAATTTTTAACGTCTTTTCTGCAAAACATAATTTTTTCTCGAATAGAATTAGATGACTTTTTTTCTACCTTAACGTGCCATTCGCAACCTACATTTTATACCTACATCTAAAAGGAAAGAATTCCTTTTGCCACTTGACGTATATATACATATCTCTTTTTTCTGAACGTTATTTCAAACGCACGCATTACAAACGCGTCACGCACTGGTAAGATGTAATTACCGGCGCAACGGTGATTTCGCGTGCACAGTAAAGAAGTTTTTTTTATACATCGGCTCGCATACGAAATAATGTACGGCCGAGGACCACGTATTAAGTTAAATAAATGTAGCTTTAGACGCCTTTCACTTAAGACTTTCTTTATGAAGTAAGCTCCGAAAGAGCAGCATCCACAGTACTCTAAAAGGTACAAATACGCGATCTCTCTTAAATGAACGTGAAGATTAGAACTCCTCTTCGAGGGACACTTCTTCATCATACAGTTGGTTCTCGACTTCTTTCTATTTCCCTCGGTTACGTCGTAAAACGGCGATTTCATCGGTTAGCCCAACAACAACGACGGTAGCGACGACGTTATCTGAAATGGGTTGTATATACACGTAGAACGGAACTGCTACGAATAATCCAACGAAAATATACTCGGTATCATAAACAAAATGATAAAATAAAAGATCCGGATTTTTAAAGCGGTAAAACTGAAGAGAAATTACATCACTTATATAAATATAAAATATTGTCGAACCCTATTATTCTGTTATATATATGAAGTAAAATTATTTAATATTTTTTTTAAAAAGCAATTGTAACATAAAACTTGAATTTTTTGATAAGTATTTAAAAAGATTTAGATGTGTCTTTTTTTAGAGATTTATTCCATATTATTAGAATTTAAATATTCCTCTTAGAAAATATATAGAATAATCTTTTAGAAAGTATTTTAATCATACACGTTGTTTCATCTATCGTATAAATGTGTAATCCGTAAGTTAATTTTAACAATTGTGTTTAGCGGATGTTGCAGATCTATGAACTAGTCGATTACCGTTAACGGTTGATCGTCCCGATTAGTAGAATTGCTAACGTAATACTTTCCTGCGAGAAATCAAGTACAAGCATGCGAAGTATGACTCCCAGGCATTTCCTCCTCATGTGTGTTAATGACCGACTCTTTCTTTGAATCATTACAACCTTCCGCTTGCGAGACCGTGAATGGCAGGAAGTGCATTCCAGCTATATTTCAAATTAAAACCAAAGTTTTTTCCAAATACTAGTACATTGGATATTTAAAGTGTGTTTCTCAAGAGAAACGACAAGTGTTTGTTAAAATCTTCGACTATATAATTAAAATAATTAAATTATAATTTTTTAAATATTTAATATTTCTTTCTCTCAGAGAATTATTCTCCCGGAAAATATTTCAAAAGATTTGCATGTTTAAGGCAGTTCCAAACGACGTGCGGCCAATGTTAACGCTAATATTAACAAATATTACACACACTTACATACACATATATAACATTCATAATTATCCATAGGCTAATATTTAGCGAATGTGCGTAAAATCGACGTACATTGGCGCCGCCTTTATCATTTACAATGTATGCGCAGCATGCAACGAACTCAGGCGCAATTTCGCTTTCGCCAGAACAAATCGCAATTCACGCCCGCACGCGATTCGCCGATGAATTAATCAGACTTATACAGTACCGGTACTCTCATTCTTTCACAGCGACTGCCGTTGATTCTCCTGCGTCGAAAATTAAAACTTTCCGCTTGTAGACACAATAACCATGATACAAGCCCATGTGTTTCGATCTAGCTCCGTTCTTTGGATTCGTGAAGGCTCACGATACACGTGCATGCATGCCGATCGCATTAATAATACGATTATGCAATAAGTCTCGTGAACGATGGTTATTAGTGAGTCGGACTTCGGGTATGTAGCTATACGAAACGTGCTCTATAGACATAACACATAAGTTCGCCTGAACGCGAATACAACTTGCGCTCTGCAACCACTGCAGAAACTGAAAGACGGAATTAGTATTAATTATTCGAGATAGTACCGGAGAGGCCATATATATATATATATATATATATATATGTGTGTGTGTGTATAAAGTTTATACAGATTATCTTGCTTTTACCAGATCAATTATGATTTAGAATTGCAATCTTTTCCTTACAAAAGTATCGAGAGGTGCCATCATTTGTTGCTAAAGAAAATTTGTCAATTACCAACATACCTATATAAATATTTTCATAACTATATTCATCTGAGAGCACAATTTTGTAAAGGTAAAGACTAATAATAAAATTTAATTTGGGTTTTTGTAGCTTTATTTATATGTATAAATCTTATTTTTTTTAATTTAAAAAATATTTCGATATAAAAACTATAAATGCTTCGATAATTTTACGATAAAAAATAGATTTTAATTGTAACAAATTAATCATTTATTATAAATATGATTCTACGTATTACGAAATTAAGTATATTTAATTGAAATAGGGTTTGCGTTATTACTGTATAAAATTAAACGATACTGAGTGTTCAAATTGGGCATTGCTAGATATATACCAAACTCTCCATTCTATGTAAAGCCATATGAATTGCAAACATGTTCAGATGCAGATATTCTGTGAGAGAGGTTATCGCTGTAAAACATCACTCGGTCGAAATTTAAACATGAATAGAAATTTTATTTTAACATACAGTGAGCAATTTTCATTTCGTGCTAAAAGCTGGTGCGACCTTAATTTACACAATCGGTTTATTCAAAAATCGTCATAATGAGAGAACTAAGAGTGTAAAATAAATTATGGATATACAAACGCTTTATGGATCGAATATGTCCTGATAAACGCGTGTGACACATCCTGCAACATATATGTAAAAGCTGCGAGCGAGTTGGGATACGTGATTTTATCTTTGCGAAAGCGCATCGTTCGCTCAAAACATCCTCATACAAACACACACGTATACGATGGTTTGAAATAGAATCAAACTTTCAGTCGAAGCCGTGGACGCAATTTCGCGATGTGCATTGCTAGAAGTTGCTGTGAGCAGACAAAAAGAGAAAAATTCAATCTCTCGAAACTAACTGGCTAATGATCAGTATCACTTTAACAATATTATTTTACGGTTGCAGGTGAGGAAGTGGTGACGGTGCCGTCTACCAGCAACGGTCAGGAGAGCTGGAAAGCGCAGAGATTGTCCATAAACGGCGAATCACCGCAATCGAGCAATCGTCGCCGCGGCTGCCGACCTCAATTGCAACCGGTTGTTTCCGGCGGTAAAAGGAATCGACCGGCGCCACCCCCGCCACCACAACCGATATCCTACAGGGTCAATGCCAAGGATGGAATCGACAGGTACTTCGACTGGCCGAACAAAGAGAACACGCCCGGAAATGCCGTGAATCGTTGTAAGGACGACCACCAAACGAACCAAATCCAAGTAAACGAGGAAGCGATAATGGGCTCGAACTTAAGCAGACATAACGGAAAGGGCCTTACTGGCCGGCGCACTCAATCTTCCGGAAACTTGTGCGAGCCCAAGGGGAAACTCAACAGTATGGGGAAGATACTAGTACCCTGTTCTAGCGCGCAGAAAGAAAGGTTAGTCATTAATAAATGTTATATCTTCCATTGCCAAAAATAGTCTTACATTTATTTTAATACATTGACTGGTGCTCAGTGACCTGCACCGTTGCGACAAGCGTCTCTCAGTTGCCGTAGTTACTAATGACCAGTAAAATGCTTGTAAAAAAAATTAATGTTCTCTAGAGAGTATAAAAATTTTAATACCATAAAGCCAGATATAACATTAAAGTAAAAAGTGTAATAAAGTAAAAAATAGACTATTTAACACACTATCTATGGTCTCTACTATTACAGAATTAATTTATTATTTTATTATTTTATTATTCAATAGAAGCATACACTGAAAATAGATTTTGATCATAGCTACCAAATGTTTAGTGAAATAATGCTAATTAAATATTTGGTTAATATATTTTATTATAACTATACATAATTTTACCTTTACAAATATTTAGTAAATATTATTAAACAGTAATACTTACTAAATATTAGTCATCGGTAATACTTACTGAATATTTATAAAGGTAAAATTATGTATAGTTATAATAAAATATATTAATCAAATATTTAATTAGCATTATTTTACTAAACATTTGATAGCTATTACCAAAACTTTACATGCTTATGAAAATTATATTCTGGCGATAAGACATACAATATGTCTTATCGAATAGATATGTATATAGATATGTATTCGATAAGACATAGATAATAATTTAAATTGAAAGTTTTTATCTTTAATTAAAAATAAAAAATTTTAACATTTTGCTTATTTTTGCTAAATTATTTTTGTACAATTTATTTGTAACATTTAATTACGTAACTATTTTTATAAAAATTAAAAAAGTAATTTTTTTGTTAAATTTTTTGAGAAGACTAAAGAGAGAAATATATAAAATTATATTGCAATTTTTTATTAAAAGTATAAAATTAAAGTTATTGGAAAATTATATAAACATGAAATTGGCACGAGATACTTCGTTACTATAATACGAGGACAGAATTAAATATTGTGAAACATGAGAAAAAGGTGGATATAATCACACTTCTCTCGCGACAGATTAGATCTTTGTAATCTAGCCTCGTGTAGACTCCGTTAATTTTTGAATGGCACGAAAAACGATTGACTACAGGGGATAGTTATGTTGCAACATGCGGAGGGAAAGGTCAATTCACGATCGATTACTCGTCTGATACTTTTAAAACACTATATCACGCTAATAGTTTGCTTAACACAAATTTATCTGAAGATTGTAAACATATGTTCAATAGGCTACATAAATTGAAAAAATGTAGATTAAATAGAGCTACGATTATACTTTTCTCATTGTTAATTTAATGATTACTAATATCCATATAATTATTACATTGTGTAGATAAAGACACTATTAATTGTATATATCATATATATCATATATATAAATTGTATATTATAACTATAACTTATATATTATATATATTATTATAATAAATTACTTATTTCTAAAAAGATCAAACATAAAAATATATATTATTTATATACTTAACTTAAAATATAATACAGTACATATTTTACATTATATCTTTTATTAAACACACATACACACACACATATGTGTATATATTATATGAAACTTATAATATTATAATTAAATTGAATACAGTTATGTTATTATATTTCTCTCTGTATGAAATCTAAAATAATGCTATCTCTTTATGCACTCTTTATGCTACATTATGCACTAACGTTATTTTCAATGAAATTATTTTGGTATTATCAAAGAAAATTTAATGGAAATGACGAAATAATTTTTTTCCATTTTTCAAAGTATAGTATTAAGTAAATTTTATGCACAGCGTTCATGCAATGCTTGTCAACTGTATAAAGAAGGGAGCTCATTCACTATCGGTGTGAACTGTTCTTTACCCACGATCCCCGCGGAACGATAAGACATTAACTCTCTTCACCTTTAACTCTTTGCTCATAAACCCTTTATATCTGTTTTAAAAAATCGACAAGAATTTACTTAACACACATCCTTTTATATAAAGAATTACTAAATTTCCTTATAAATATTTTGTTTTATTTTTTTTTAATTAAAATTTCAATTGTTTCAAAATCTTTCCTTTTTTCCATATTTTTAAGAATTGTAATTGACAAATAAATATTTTTTGAGTTGACTGAATAAGAAGTTAAAAACTGTTTTGGAAAATATCGTTAATAATGAGAAAAAAGAAGTAGTATTGACCATTGCTCGGTTTTTTAACAGAACAAAAGGATATTCAGAAGCTATCAGACGAATTAATACCAAACAATCAATCAAAAGAGATTATCATGACATTCGTAGCTATTAACAAAACTACCTTATTGATCGACAGAGTTTGATGGTATTAATTCGTATGATAGCTTTGAATACCCAAGAGAGTCGCTAAGAGATTACTTAAGCTAAATACGATAATCGATACTCATTAATAATGAATAAAATAGATACGTATAAAAAGAATTATTTTCGTGAAAAATTAGCATAACGAAATCGACTAAGATTGATGGCGAATCGATCAATAGTTTCCTCTCTTGCGAGATCATCTTCTTAATTATTCCTTCGAGGATTACGAGGCGGTATCTCCTTATAATTCATGAATGGCTATATTTAGCCACGAATAGGATTACTTGTCGAGTGATAAAGCTCTGTAATTCTGAAGCATATGTTAATTATATCTAGAGGGCAGGCAAAATGTTGCTAGGAGATCTTTTGTAAGGTAAAAAAAAACATGTAAAATCCTTATTTGGAAAATCTTAAAATCCTTCAACGTGGAGTTGTCCGTGTTCTGTACTGACATCCTAAGCTACATAAGACGATTAAGCAATAATAAGGTTGTCGTGAAAACACGACACTGTGTATGTTAATAATATGCCTTTGCTGCTGTTAACATAACTAGCAAAATAGAGTAAGCCACTGGCCGCACGTTCAACAATGACCAAGATCGTTAATCCGAAGGTGAATTATATTCGACGTTGATAATGGTGATAAATGACGATGATAAATTGATAGAAAATGAACCGTGCACGCGTCCTGTTATTAAATTAATAATTATTTGTGTCTCGTATGTTCGTCATAATAATGAACTAGGTAAGATGAAACCACGACTGATGATGATCTTGCTGTAACCGGTTGATCGCGCGGTATGCCATCTAAAAACTATTAGTGAATCCGTCAAGGACAGACGCCTCGTTAATATAACTTTAATAAGTTCTCTGAAACTCTCAACCATTTTTCATAATATAAGGTCAGCATTTCGTGATATTTGATTTAATATCTGTGCTGCATCTCAATTAAGCTTTTACATATTTTATTACATTTTATTATGCCGAAGGCATAACATAAATAAAAACTGTTGCATTTTAATTAATTAATTTTTTCATACAAACATATAAATGTATATTTTGAAATAAACTGTACAGAATTAATGAATAATAATATATTTTATTACGAACACTTTTAGTCACGATTATACAGCTATGCTTAAAACGTGTACATTCGTACCGCTTTGCTAAATTTCCTTTCCCTCGACGACAATTGAATTAAACAAGATATTTAAGGTATAAATGGTAGCGCTTCTAAAGTAAACGGAGAAAACTGAGAAACTTTACTAACGCGGAAGTCTTACGTCTTGCAGCGACGTGCAAAACAGGGAATCCACTTGCATTAGCGTCTCTTGGGTGCATAGTTCTCTCTCACAGCAACCTTACAATGGGGTTAGCAGCAGCACCTCCGGTAGTAACAAGTTGCCAGCCACGAGATAATTTAAAGTACCTTTAAGGTCGGCCAGTCTCTGAACCAGGGCGGCTTCCATTAAACCCTCGTTTACACGGCGCGATGCTAGGAGGAATATAAGGATACGTGAGCTAAAAGAGCAGTCTCGGGAAGGGAATATTAAAAGGCGGCCTTGCGCTTCCTGATCTCATTTGCGTAAGTGCTGTTGTCTAACCCAGCAGTGACAATACCAGTAATATGCGTAAGCAGAATCGTAGCTCCGTTTGCGTTACTTGTTTGCTTAAGCCTTGAAATATCTCAGACCACATTTTACTTACATTACCGCAAAAAGCCATTTCTTTTTCCATGGATGTAAAAAGACGTTTTAATTGTAAGAAAATCTCACAGCTTATTCATATTATATTACATATATAATATGACAGCTATCATATTGTATGTATTATAATATCAACTTTTGTTCTGTAATATTACACCCTATTTTTGTATTTATTTATTTAATGTTAGAATAATAATTACATATTTTACTTCCTAGATGTAGATTTACAGATTTCTATGTTGTTACTATATTTAAAATAAGAGAATAAACTTTTGATCCTCTGTAATGAGAATCGTAGCGAAAAAATTTAGTGAAAGGTCGTAAAATATCACGAGTCTGTAACGGGATTTTCTGAATTTTAATATTGATAGTTATTTTAACATCGCGTTTCTTGTCACGTCTTTAGTTGTCAGGAGTGTTGTACTGTAAGACTGTTTATTTGTATCAGTGCTCTATGACCGGATAGAATTTTTAGGCTCTGTACCGAGGTATCCGCGACGCAAGAGGTCGAAGTAAGTGGAAAGACCGGTGAAAGGTCAAATGTTCTGCGCGCTTGTGCGCTTATGCATGCCACGGAGGTTTGCGCAGGCAGGCATTCGCCTATCCACCGGGCGTGAAAGCGGACTACAGTGGATGATGTCACGTACGAATTATTAGTAAAGTTTCCTATACCGTTCTCGGTATGGTTCGTTGTCACGTAGGGTGTTTTATGAGACGCACGCAAATACGATCGCTGAATAAATACGAAATGTTGTCACGTGTTGTGACATTATGATAATTATGTTATGCTTCTTAACTTGTTCTCCAACAGTCTTAAAATGACATAACATAATACAACAGCAAACAATAAGAGCCATACAACTTTTATCATTACAAAAAGCAGTTTCTTTCTGTCAAAGTAGAAAAGAAAAGAAAATATTGGTACTGCAATATCGACTTTTTTTAATGTATAAAAGAAAAAAGCGGAATTATATATCGTGTAGCGCTAAGAGCAAGTTGAATTTAACTTTGTCATTGTTTTTAATATGACAGATTAAAAATTGTGTATGATATTTATATCAAAAATAGTAAAATACACGCGACAAGCTTATTTTATTGACAATTCGCGAGCAAATCGAGATATCTTACGATTATCATCCACGATGATATTTCGATTTCGGTGCGCTCGATTTCATCTTGTTCGAGTGTCACGTATATCACATAGCACGCGAACGTGCTGTCACGGTGAAGTTCTTTCCATCGCATCCAACCTCATATATCGCTTTTAAATGCTTTTATTTCATTTTATTTTTGTTCACCTTCGTTCGCGTCGACATTGCAGGCGTAGCAATCGCGTTTAAACAGAAATGTTCTCTCACACACGTGAATTTACATTCGAATAGCATTTTGTGCGTTACATACACAAACAAAGATATACTAAATGATCGTTCGCACCCCATTACATTAACGAAGTAACAGACAAACGATGTGAACAGCGGATTATGTTAATTAACGTAAAGTATTTTTTTCTTATACAGATTTTGACGCTTTCTGACAACAGCTTATTACATGAAATACATGCTTCCGTCTTACAAACTTCTCGGCACTTTTGTTTTCCTTTATACCTTAATGAAGAGGGAGAAACAAACGAGTTACGCAAACGATCTGTGTAAAACACATTGCGAAATAACACTTCGAAAGGAAGTTTATTCTGCAAAGAATCTTGCTAATACATGCATGTTTATAATTTCTTGCTTATTGTTTCGTTACCTGTTCAGGATCTGAACAAATAAATCAATGAATAAAATTTTACAAATTCTATAAGTAAAAAAATCTAACTATTACAGAACTGAGAAAAACACACACGTTCTAATTTTTACAACTGTAATACTAAAAATAATTTTTAGAAAGAAGAGTAGTATATAAATTCACATGCAATTATTTAGAAGCACCTGTGATCCAGTTTAGACTGTTGTGGCATTGTCTCATTCGGTTTGAAATTTAGCGGTCCAATAAGAATTGATATTGTTGACTTATGGTGTTTCTAAAGTAAACAAACATTTTTATAAGATATGGTTTTTTAATTAGAAAATTTCATAAAAATATAACGACATACTTCTGAAGATATTTTAGAATAAGATATTCACTACGTAAAAAAACTTGAAAAATTTAAAATTTTCGGAGAATTTTTTTTTCATCTTGAAATTATCTTGAAAATATCAGGAATTTTTATAGAATTTTATCGAGTCTCAAAAAAATTTGAAATTTACTTTTAAAAGTAAATTCTATCTCTTTCTGAAAACATTTTTCTCTTTAATAATTTCTTTAATCATTTGTTTCGTTAATTTTTTTTTTCTGATAATGTAAAATGTGACAATCAATTAGAAATAAGTATAGCACATTCGTATTCATATACATTTTTGTGTTTCGTGAATTCTTATGAAAAAGAATCAAGGCAACAGTAGAAAATAATACTTAGCAAAATATAGCTGATGCAAGTTGATGTTATTTTGTATATAGCGAACTTTCTCTATATTCTATTTTATAAACGCGGCTTCAATATAAAACAATAGATATGTATTTTTTATTTCGTGGGATCCCTGTTTCCGATTAAGTTTCAATATACTGTTTCTTTGCATTGCGTGTGCACACATATACTTCTATGTAGATCTAATTAAATTTAAAAGATTATTAATATTTTATATTGATTATGTTAAAAGATCCAAAATAATCGGCGCTTAGTCATTTCTGAGATATTTAAAATATATATAAGTATATGTATTAGTTTAATATCTAACTTTGACCGTAAGTGGTGCTTCTTCAGATTTTCTCTCTCTCTTTCTCTCCCGCCCTCTTTCTTTCTCTTCTCTCCCTTCATCTTGATTCTCTGAATTCCCTAATAATATTTCAATTTCGACAAAATTTGACTTGTGGTATTTCTGAAATAATTGACTGAATCAAATTATCCAACAATCTGTTCTTTCTGTACAGGTATAAATTTTGCGGTTCTCTACCAAACCACTTGGACGATAAAGATGCGCTGGATGACGATCGAGGAGATAATAATAACATCTCGTCCGAAAATGTTGGCGGAAATTTCGGCGGCACATTACCACACAAGAAACGCTCGTTAGGAGTGCACTTCTCGGACAGCGGACCGACCGGCACTTTGGATCTCGTTAAACATCGATCGCAGGACTCTTTGGACGAGAACGATCCTTGGAGGTATGTGATAATCAAGAACAAGAATAATGTAATAACTATTCATTTCATATTACAGAGAAATGCGCATTGGACATGTAGCCTCTGTTAGAATAATTAATTATCCTTAATAAATTCCTGAAATTTATCGCCTTTCACTTATGCACGCGATTCTACATGCACATTTCGTCGCGAGATTGTCGGGGATCGACGCGGACAGAGGCATGGCAATTTGGAGAATTCCGGGAATGTCCCTTTTGACTTCAATCTCCGTCGATCGATCGATCGATCGATCGCGCATACTCTCATATCAAACGCGAACCTCCGAAAGTTTTAACTTCGAACCTGACATATCCTTCGCGCGCTCTATGAACTTCCCGCATTTTAAAGTCGAGGAAATAGTTCTCTCGTCGACCCTCGGCATGAAATGAGTCCCATTTCCGGCGAACGCGAGCGCGCAAATCTTTCCTTAGTGGAAGATTAACCGCGAGCGATTCCGGTCTGATTTTAGGTATCAACAGAGTGACCTCGACCTCGTGCGAACCCGTCATGGTAACTTTGACTCGGTCAAGAGAAATCGCAGCGCCGACACTGTGCTAGTCGATTCCGGCAGAAGATACGGAGGTCGCGGCATGTCCTCGGAGGACAGATACCACCGGAATTCGGACCTCGACCTAGTCGGCACGCTGCCGAAACGCAAGCAGGACGCTAGAAACAGCAGCGGTAGGAGTCTGCAATCGAACTCGTCGTCCTCGCAGCCGTGCATAATGAACGCCACCACCGACGTCAACGACGAGCTGTTGATGAAGATGGTGCATAAGCCCGATTGTGAACTGCTCAAGCATCGTCAGCATCTCAGCAAGTGCGTCGATTTAAAACTGAGCAAACTAAGCGGTGAGCCGCAGGATCAGGGATACGCGTCCGAGCGTTCGCCAGAGGACGAGCATCCGCCGTCGTTGCCAGGCCAACCGTTTCCAAATGTGACACTTGGTAAGTGACTCACCGTGCCTTATTCGTATAGCTCTTTTTATTATTAAAAAGAATAGTGTGACGACATTCTCGTACTAGATACAGATCTTTTTTCCACGTTCTATACGACGTGAATTAAAACGTGAGTGCCTTTTCCCTATGTGAAAAAGCGTCCATTATCCGACACATAATTAATGCGCAATTAATATTCACTTGCGCATAATCAGCTTATTATTAGCAAGCAATATTCACCGTAACGCGAGTACTTAGCATCGTCCAATCGTGTGAGATATTTGTTCGCATGTGGAAGAACGATTCGTTCGAGAGAAACCTGCGGGAGGATAGATACGTGTGAAAATGCGATCGCGCTTACACGAAGCTGACGTAACAGGATTTCGAAAGATATATTGGAAAGGATGGATTATTCACGCGTAAAAACTTCCCTATTTTGCTTTCACGAGTCTTATTTTATTGGGGATGGACTATACCTGTGTTCCCACATGCACGAGAAACTGTCACAAATTTTCCGAAGGTCGAGAGCCCTTCTTCGCTACAGTGATAAATACGAGCAGCCTTGCCATGTGCAATAACGAACAGCTGATAAAGATGAATGGCTCGAAGAGATGACAGATGAATGAAGATCGCGCTAGCGCCGTGCAAATGGTCGATTAGCGGACAAGGCTATTCAATTCCATATATAAGTCTCAGTTTCCATTCAGGTTTTCCCATTAATTTATTGCTTCGCGTACTTCTCAATCATGATCTCCAGATTACGTTAATGTATAACGATTGAAATTTTTCACTTAATTTATGTAGATATATTAACTATATTTTTAAATGTACACAAAAATAGCAGCTAATTATACGAATACGAACTTAGTGTACTAACATTTTCAAGTTGTTAAGAAATTAATGTTGCGCAAGCTTTGCATAACAGATTATACGATGTAAAAAAATATACGCGTTTGATTATAACGTCGCACGACGGTATTTTTTACGAGTTTCACGACACTTAATAACACGATAGAAAGTGTTTCGTAATTTACAGCTTTTTATCGAGATAGCTTGGCTCGTTGATATGTGATTAGATCAACTAATCGTCCTCCATAAATTATCATTGATCGTCGCGCGTACTCCTGTAAAGGAATAGATAATAATTTTCCATCGTCAACGTATAACAAGTTTATATAATACGGCTGCGATTAACTATAATTTTCCTTGACTTGTCGACCAACGAAGAAGTTGTTTCAACTGGCCCGCATAATTCAGGCAAAACGTTTACGCGATTTCATTAATTAAAACTCTCGTGATTGCATCAGACCCTAAGAATCCTGTCAAATTCAGACAAATCTACATAATTTTACATATAACATATGTCGAAATGGCTTCTGAGCCAGTTGTTCATGTTTGAAAAAGCACTCTCTCACATGAGAGAGAGGGAGTGAGAGAGAAAGAACCTTGGAATGGATATAATGCGTCATTTACTTTCGGCGTCAATTTTCGAGCGATTTGATCGATAGCCAGTCACGCGAACGCTTTACCGTTCGCATGCTTTACACGAATGTGTCTATATCGTAGCGCGCATGAAATCTACATATTTTCAATTTCAATCTCATGCATTTGGAAGAAGCTGTTCACCAAGCGACGCCGCTGACGAATGGGCGAAATTATTTCCACGTGTTACTTTCCGTACCGTTGTTGTTGCCGTGGCAATTCAGAAAGCAAGCTCTTCGAGCCGCTCTTAAAATTTACAATCTTTTTAAATAAATCAATAAGAATATAGCGCTTTTTTATTTGCAAAAATTATTTATTTAAAATATTTAAAAAATGCTTTTCATTTTATGTTTGCTTTAGCATAATATCAATTACCAACAATTATTAGTTGCATGTATCTATTATTAAACATCATTTTAACATGTTATCAATTTAACGACAAATTATTTTTACGTGCTATTTTTTTAGATAACTTGTTAATACATATCAATAATATAGTGTACCAATTGCCAAATGAACGAGAAAAAATTCATATTCAGTATTTCATGCAGTAACAATCTGTGAATTGAAATCAAAACGTGAAAATATCATGACGCAAATTCGAGCAAGCCGTTCCGCTTTCGACACGAAAAAAAAATTCCATTCATCCCGCTGAATATACTTCGGTGACACGATGACACGCGTCCTTAGGACGTTAATGGCACGATTTAACAACACACCGTTGTTCATTGCGCCTGACGGGCAAGTTTCGTGGCGTAGTTATTACCCTTCCACCCACGCATAACGCTTGCGTGTGTATTCTAGGACAGCGGTTCTCAGGACCGAAGCTGTACTCTCTCTCTGCTTGTAAAAATCATTCACCGCGTTATACTTCATCATTATAATTCGTATTATGCGTTATATCTCGTTCACTACACGAGAAGAACAATTTTAGTTGAAATATCTAAAAATTTAGCTAGATACATTTTGAAAACCAAGAAGAAACTTAAGCAATGTTGCAAAAAGTTTTGATATTCTAATAATCAATATCAACGTTTTACACACTGTAAAAAATCAAATGTTATTTTTAGCTGAAAGACATATAGACTTTCTGAGACATGCCAAAAAGTGAAAATTAATACAGAAATATTAATTTTAGCATTTTTTCACATGTCTTAAAAGGTCCACTATACATCTTTAAGTTAAAATTAACATTTTATTTTTTACAATGTATACTTATTTTGGTCCAATAAAATTATTCTTAGATCTGTATCTAGCTAAATTTTTTATGGATACTTCAGTAAAACTGTCCTTTTCATGCTGATTCTACCAAAGATTTCATTACAAGGGCATTTCACTATTTATTATTTGATAAACGATTGATATTGTTATTTCCATGAATTTTTGAGTAATTTTTTCTGAAATGCGTAAAAAAGCGTAGACTATTCCTGCATTGCGGTGATAATTCCGTGCCATCGATAATTCCACGGTTTCAGTTTACGCGAACTCTTAACGGCCCCGTTACTATGAGTTTACGAGAGAATTTGGGATCAACTGAAGCGCTCGGAGGATCTCGTGAGTCGCAAGTTGATGGCATGACCTTTCCGGAATCGTCGAGCGCTTTCGCACGTTCCGGACATATACGGTGGCGGCGAGTCAACCCAGTTTGAGAGACCCTGACCCAGAATATATACACGGCCCTTTGTGAACAACTACGGTAGCGTACGCTTTGTGCGGATTGGTATTTGCGACGGGATCCAGCCAGCTTCGAAATTACAGGGTTACCGGTAATATATTGCCCAAATGCGCGCAGCATGTCGGCGAGTGTTAAAAATCGATGCGCGATAATTAAAAGCGCGGTCGGAAGTATGCCGTTTTAAATTAAACCCCGAAGTGCCTGGGCTACTCTATTACCTAAAACCCTCCTGGTCTATTAGCCAAAGAGTAACGTTTAATGAAACATTTTTATCTCGCGGGCGAAATATGTAATAAATAGAAAACGCACGTTTTAAAGTACAGCACTTATCTTTCACCGCGTATGTCTTGCGCGGAGGATGAGAATATTTAACTATGTTATATACGCAAACCTCACCGCGTTAACCATTACTTAGACGAGCAAGACTGAACTTGCGAAACTAATAAACAACTATCTAGCATTATACGATGCTCGTTATACACGAACATTCGATCCATCCATTTGCTTTTCGGGTTAACAACACTACGTAAAGTAAACTTGTCAAATCAATAAACAGTCGAGACATTGCGATCCTTGTTATGCAGTTCTCATGTTTCTGCGATATAGATTGTTTATGTTCGTCATTGTGTCATAACAGAACTGTGCGCTCAGGCGAGAAATATTCCGTTCACGTAATGGTTTGGGACTTGATTCAGGATTCTCCTCCTAATTCGAATACGAATGTCTATGACAGAACGTTGGCTGAGCTCGAGACGACTGAACGATTCAAATCTTGACAAGCTATCCGCATCCTGATACCTGCACAGAATACCCAAATTATGTAATTCAAATTACACATATGTGTATGTGATTAAATAAAATAATCGTATTGGAGTTTGTTATATGTAAGAAAAATTATTCCAGTTTTTCTGAAATGATTCGTATGATTTTAGATTAGTTAAATTTTTTTTCTTATTTATACACTGTGATAGATATGTCTCTAAAAATTTAATACAGACGTTAAATATAATTCTCACCATGTTTATAGTATTGATATAAACATCAATATGCTATAGATTTTGCATCATAGATTTAAAACCATAATATTAATCTTTAAATGGAGATGAGGTAATTTAAAAATACGCAAGTTGGTAGGTGATATGCTCAGGACGCCCCAGAAAAATGTTTAATTTTATACATACTTATATTTTTTTTACTAATATATTATGTTATAGTAGTTAAACTTACATTAGTTATTCTTAGAGAAGATAAACTGTGATAAAAGAATGTAAAAATAAGAAATTTTAAGACTTCTCTCTGGACATTTAAGTAATATATTTTTCTTTTTTCAGAAAAAGATTTTAGAGAAAACTGTATCTGAAGTGCACTTTGTCTACTCACTTAAATATTAAATTCATATTCATGATATTAAATCCACATCTATGTTAGTATATTTATATTATTGTAATACCTACACAGTGAGAATTATATAAACACTGCATTGAATCTACATCTATATTTTTATATATATATGTCATTAACGCATGTTAGATTTTTTGTATTTCAACCATGTTTATTTTATTGCCACTTAACGATAGAAATCACCAAAATGCTTTATACACACTGTAAAAAGTGTAGTATTTAAAATGTTTATATGTTAAAAATATCTTTGCAAAACAAACATTTAATAATAAAGGATAGTTCAATTTTAAATGTTTAATATAATGAAAGATAATAATAATTGACTCGTATGATTTAAAAATCGAGGAAAGTGTAATGTGTAATTAAAGAACAATGTGAAGAATATCACTTCGTCGACTAGCCAACAGAGGTCTATAGTTACTCATGCCATTTCTCGCAAGTGCTTGATTAC